TTAGTGTAACGAACGTATTAAGTGAATTTCTGTCTAAGATATATCTATAGCCAGCCTCACAAGGCAACAGCCATGCCCGGTAGACTCCTTTTCATTACGAGACAAAACCCTCCTTACCAGAATTCAGAGATAATTCCGCCAAGTCAACTGTCTATAGATCTATAGGTCAAAGTGTCTTTAACTTTCCCTACCGTTGCAAGGGAGAGCTATTATTACAGCTATTCTATTTACACAATAAACTGTGAAATGTATATAACCCTTTATTATCATGGATATTAATCTTTAATTGACATTTTGCTTGCTTATTAAAAGAGGAATCCTTTTTATTTATAATATAATAATTCAATATAAGAATTATTTTACGTATAAAAGTAATTCAAAGATATTATTTTTAAAAGTTATTTTAATAAGAATTTATATTGATCCAAATATTCATTATTAATGCAAATCGCAAATTTTCACCGAAAATTTCGCGATAAAAACCATCAATTACTGCAACTTCTTAATACGCAAGGTTAAATAGCTTAATGACTAAACCTTTAAATAGAATTAAGCTCATTCAGTATTAAATGAATGATAAAATCCTTTGTCATATAGTTACTTGGCAGAAGTTTAATTTATGAAGTTGCCTTCATTTTCTATCGTCCATGACTCGCGAAGATCGTTAGAATTTTGGCATTTTAATAGAGAAAAATCGAACTCAAAGGATTTGAAATAAGATTAATGTCTTATTGTTAGACAGAAATTGATATAAATGAAGATAACATACTATAATATAATGTAATAAGTTTAATTAATGCCTCTGTCTCTCTCTCTCTCTCTCTCTCTCTCTCTCTCTCTCTCTCTCTTCATTTAGTTTTCTGAGCATGTTGCGTTTTTTTATCTTCGAAATAAAAATATTTGGACCTTGACTGATTGAGTAAGGATAGCGTAATCAATCGTGGCGTCTTTCTTTATTGCTTCTTATTGACATTACCATTGGTATCCAGACCGCTAATAACTCGCCAAGGAGTGGCGACAGCTGATGCGCCATCGGCTCCTGGCTCTTCCCTTGAGAAAAGGTGAAGTATAGAAGAGCTAGCGCAACGGGACGCTTCACAAGATGCGCCGCAATAAACCCAAGGGGTGAGATCGCTCTTGGAAGTCGATTACTCGCTTCCTGCCTCGGAGAGAAGAAAGTAGTCGGCGGCCGCGAGGTTCACCTTAATCCGATTAAATACGTCATTCTCGGACAAGCTCTTTTATACTAGACCACTATACGAGGAAAACGCGACGCCGCCGTTTATCGATCTCGGATCAACGTGCTCGTTCCACTCTGCTGAATTACGTCTTTTTTATACGATGGATGATCGAATCGTCGACGACAATAATCGTCCCCTCTGCGATACACAACAATGTCGATGACCGGGATAAAAAAAATTATATCACGCTCTTCGCGAGAGAATGGGCGATCATCGCGTTATGCGACGCGTCGATAAACTGGCAGATAAAAAGATGGGGTCAAGAGACGTTTAATAAAGTGTCATCTCTGCAGTCGTGCTAAATCGGTCAAAATCGTAAATTACGCGACAGGCGATTCCAAACCGTGACCAAAAAATATTTATCGCGATTGATTTAATCGGTAAAATTTATAGTGCCTCACGAAGAACACTCGAATCGTTTACCTCGAATATTTGCTCAAAATTCTAGGAAAATAATTATTTAACTTTTCAGAGCGTATCAGATATATAACTGTGTAAGTGCGTCATAAAGTATGTAAAAAATATATTAAAAAATTTAATATACTCTCTCTCTCTCTTTTCAAACATGAAATATTTTAAGTAATTAACATTCTTTTTTACAAGATTCAATATTTAACCCGTTGTGGTCACATGGGGTCCAGTGGACCCCAGGCTTTTTTTTTTTTTTTTTTCCAAAAGTATACTATTTTGAAAGTAAAACGCACAAAGTTTTTTTACTCTATCTCAAAAAATTTTGATGAATATTTTTGTAAAAAAAGTCAAATTTCTCGAAAAAAATTTTTTTTTCTCGCGTTTTTTCAACATAAAAAAATTTTTTAAATTATTGGATTATCAAGAGGAAGTCATAAATTAATTCCAGTTCAAGGTTTGAGTCGATACATCAAAAAGAACGCAAATGGAAACTGTTGTGGGGTCCATTGGACCCCGTGTGACCACTACGTTATTTTTAAGAGGTGTGATCACAACGGGTTAATATAAAGTATATTAATAAATATTGACAAAAAGCAAAATAAAGAAGTTAATAAAAACCATTGATTGAAGACTTTCACAATTTTTCGTAACAATATTCTTGTTCACGATTTCGTTTACGAGTAAGGATTGATTATTCGAGTTTTAAATTATTCGATACAAAACTTACACGCGCAAATTTAGAGAGATGGAATATATTTTAGGGATATCTTTTAGGAAAGGCTTATTAAATTATCACCGTTATCGAACATTACGATTTACACTCGGAGGTACATCAGGATCCACACAATACACTTCCTCCATACGGATTTCGCCACACATAATTCCATTCGCGCGCCCGTCAAATCGCGGAGATTGCATTAGCGTGGAAATTGCATTAGCTCAAGATTGCACTTCGTACGGTATGTTAAAAATATTATTTTTTACGCAAATTTTCCACATTAATTCCCGTATGTTCACACTACGAGATCAGATGAAAATTTATACTAATGTAACACACTAGAAAATTATGCAAAATTATGAAAGAAAGTAATATTTATTTGTAATTTACATAAAAGAAAATTTACATAAAAGTCTTCTCTCGGAACTTATACGATACAAGTGTCCATTTAAAGAAATGTATTGTATAATTATTTGTTACATAAAATCTTCCAGAACAATAACACATTTTCTTGGATTAATCTAGAGAGCTGCCCTTTCTTCTGTTAAATTTTAATTAAGTTTCTTTTTTTCCGTGATTTTTTTATTTCCAATATACTCATAGTTTGCCTCTAAAGAAACGTTTCAAATTGAAATACTTTTAAAACGGTGTTCATTGGGAATTATATAAAACGTAAGATTGTTATTTACTTGATGCCTAAAATTTAATTTATGATAAACTCCGCATTTGCAGAGTTATAATTGAAACAATGCTTAACTGTTTATTCTTCCTTTAAGTTTTGACAAGAAACGTGCAACAAATACGTACAGCTATTGCCGAATACGCTTTACAATTCTATTTAATTTAAAGTAGCACGTTTCTCGCGGCCCCGTCGCCGATGTTTTAAACCGCTCTTCGTTCATCAACCTTCACTTTTCTTTCGAGAATATATCAGCCGAAAGAGGAAGTTAAATTAAGAGAAACTTCCTATTTGCGTTTTCCAGGAATCGGGTCAGTCGATTACGATCTTGCGACACGAACGTTCGCGATTAGCCAAGCGACTAGCAACGGTAAACAATATTACGATTCGCTAGCAACCGACAACTCGCTTTCAGCGATTTTCCCCTTTAGCACGTTTCTCGCGGGACGATTAGAGATATCGATTATTAGCGTACTCTGAAATTAATACTATCTTCAAGTGAAAAGGGCAAGTTGAAGGACTTCTTCAAGGAAGGATGGTTAAAGTTATTTTCGAATGCAGGGATTTTAATATCAAATGTCATTATTCAATCTCTTTTTGATATTCATCATTTAATAAATATTAAAAAATTTCAAATACTTAGAAATACGAGACATATATATATATATATTACACAAGAGATTATCTTGAAATATTTTGTTATATATGTATAGTTATTCAATAAAATTATTAATAATCAATAGTTATTAATTTTTCTGACAAACTCGTCATTCGGAAAAAGTTTTTGAGAAATTCTTCAATTTGATGGAGAAGGGAAAATTAATTAATTTCATATTGTATAATTTTTCTGTTTTTATCTTCAATTTGACTTATTATCGAAAGAAATCCGGAATTTATTTTTCACGTTGATGTAAAATATCAATTATGCACGAATATTTCACGTAACGCAACATGTAAGAGTCACCTAGACTGTGTCATAAACATATTTATTCTTTTTCAGTTCTCATTTGCAAGGAGCAGTTGCTTTCGCTATAATAGAGTTTGTGAACTGTACTATTATATACTCGTGCATTTCGTAACGATATCACTCGTTCGTCGTTCAATGTAAAATGTAGAAGCGAGAATTTGAAGCCACGCACGTACAATTCGACGTATAGATGTACTTTTCAATTTTATGAACACTTTTAATGCTCGTTGTATTACTTGTATTATTAAAATGCAACGAATGCAAATTAAAGTAAATTAGAAATTGGAAATTAAAATTTCCACGCGTAACATATCTTTTTTCTCTCTTGATTTTATAAGAGTTATATTTTATGTTTGCACGAATCTCTGAGCACGATACACTTAGTGCTGTATTATTTTCAAATGTAGAGCCAGTAATTACTTTCATTAACCGTCGTCAACACGTTTATTAGTCCGAGAAAACTAATGTAATTTAACATTGCGGTGAAATATGGATATGCTATATGACACGTGTAATTAATTCAAATTGTTCGCTCGTGTTAAGATTTTGATTACTTCTCTTACTTTCAAATTACTTAGAATTTACAAATTGCAAACACTGGAAACAATAACTGGAAGAATAAAAAGGATCAGAATCTTTAATACTAATTCGATTATTTCTTAATTTAATATTATAAAATAATTTTATGATTTTCTCTCTCAAATCTCCACAATATTACTTACATTTACCATATTCAGATTTTATACTTAAAAAAAAGCACAGCACATATTCGCTAAAACGTTGAAATCGCAGCGTCGATTTATTTTAAAACTATCCGAAATAAAATGATTAATTTAACACTCGTCGCGTTGCAAATTTTCCAATATAAAACGCACCATCGAATCTAATCAAAATAATGTACGAGCCATTCTTAAAATTGAATAGTTTGAAAGGTCTTCGAGATAATTTTAGAAAATCATTTGCTCGAAAAAGAATAAAACTCACCGTAACGAAGAGGACTCCAGTTCCTTCTTCAAATGCAATTGCCGAAAACGTGGAGCGATCGCGAAGGAAAACGCGGGATGGACCGTTGTCGAACCGACGACGAAACGGCACTGACCGTGTCGGGCCAAGTGCTTGACGCGAACTACTGCGAGTCTGGACGAGTCACTTGCGAGGAGTCTGCGCGGCGTCGTCCGTTACTACTCGCCGCCCACACAGGCTCTCTACAAGTCTGCACTAGTCTGCAGGTCCTCTTTTCACTTTCTCCCGCAGTTCTTTTCATTTTTCCTGCCTCCTTGAATTCGAAAGATACGCAATATTCGCTAATAGGAAGTACGCGCCAATATTTCTTGTTAAAAGTGAAAAATTTTCCTTCATTCTCTTCAGTCTCGATGAATAAACCGATTAAGTCCTCAATTAGGTCTTTCAATGTTATTAGCGTAGCTTAACGTAACATTAAATTTCTTTTATCTAAGGAACTAAATAAAAATATATGTCAAAAGTACTGTTTGTCAATTATAATTGTACTTTGATGATACATATATTTGCATGTGGACGATAAAATGTTATTGATTTTATTGTAGACTTACGAAAATACGCTATTTCGGTATTATTCCGCGCGATCAATCTCGATTTATATCAATTTAACAATGTGTGAAGTAAATAGTTTCGCAAATAGTAGCGGAAGACGCTTCAAAGACTTCTTCTCCTACGACTTAGTCGACGTATTTCGCAAAGCCTGAAGTTGTTCTCCAGAATTTCCGGCACGAATATTATTTCCGGATGATCACCTTCCAATGCAATTATCTTCTTGTTGCAAATTTCGGATTCTGTGCTTAGAGTGAGGCATGTCGGAAGACTTGTAAGTCGTTCAAAACGAACTTTCCGAAAGCGGAAGTTTCCACCCGCTGACAATCAAGCAACTCCTCGCACAAGGGCCAGGATATAGGCTGCACACTCACGTACGTAATAAGCTGCTGACGTTCAACGAAATTACATGTGCAATGTTCTTGAAAGTTATGCAAAACTAAAGAAAATTTCCGCCGAAAATGTTCGTTGAATTTTCAGTTTTTGGAAGATACCGTTAACTAAAATATCCTAACTGATATCTGCAAATTTTTAATTACTTTTTCTGTTACCATAATTAAGACAATGTATACCTTTTATCTTAGCGTTATTCAGTTTATTTTCCCACGTAATTTCTACTACTTCCGTACAATATTAATCACAATTACGAAGAAAGAATTGTATTATAGTTCAATCATTATAAAGTTAAAATACGAACTATTTTATTACAGCTTCCGTTTTCTCGAATGATATTTAAATGAAAGCTCTCTCTGTTGACCGATTAATTAATCAGTATCTAATAATCGTGTTTCATGGTTAATAATCATATATAAGGCTGTGATAATACGCGAACGGTGCTTTCTCTTCGCGGTGTGGCGGTTTACTTACGTAATAGTTTACTGCTATACATACTATGTAGCAGTCGGCAACTTTGTTAAACGATGTTGTTACCTCTCTGTTGTGAGCGGTTTCTCAGCAAGTTGGTCCCATAAAGTCGCGCGCTACTCGCAAACACTTCGCGATTAGATCAGCAGCAAATAATCATTTATCAAACAACACAAATCGACAGAATGTGGGCATTATCTTAACGATCGAAAGATCAAGATCGGCTGTGGTCGTCACATTTCTAGCGTTTAATATTATATAGTGTTGCGAAATAATGTACACAATTGTTGCTTTAGTCTATCATCGTTTATTGTATAAATATATCACCAATTAATATTATGTAGTAAGATTGCGTCTGCGTAACGCGAGAAAGAATGCGATAGAGATCGAACGGAAAGGCTACGGTGAGGGTAAAAAAAGGGGAAAAGGTTCGGGCAGGGGAAGGGGAAACGATATGGTGGACTTAAAAGAAAAAAGTAATATATATGTAACTTGTATTGCTGCACCGGGAAAGTTTTCATGACGCAAGCAAGGAAAGCCGTATATTTTCCTGGCAGAAGCAACAAAGTAAGTGGCAAACCATCCGCGCCATACCTACTCGCGTAGATCGATTGGAAAGAAAAAGCAGGTCGCAAGTTCGATCCTGAAAGCTTCGTCGTCACGAATGCATTCGCTCTTCTTTTTTTTACATAATATAGTAAAAATATATCTCTTCGATTTCTAGGAAATATCGTTATCATCAGCAGTATCATTTATAATCATATCTCGTCGTCATCGTTATTATTAATATCAACCTCAATTAACTTATATATCACTAGAACAATGGAAAATTGAACGCACCCTTCCTTTACGCACTACTCCAAGGCTTCGAGACCATAGCTTTGAGAGAATTTGTTGAAGTATTATTTAAAAAATTGCTTTAAATTATATATTCATCTCAAAAGAAATAAGAACGCTCAATAATAATATCGAATTATTGAGTTTCTGAATTCTTTTATGAAAACTGTAGTCAAGTGTCGAGATATGAAAACTTTCTGACTGGCTATTAGTTTCGCCATAGAGCTGTGCTCTCGAATGCTATCCGGAGGGTGATTACCTTTCGGCTTAATCGATGAATCCACAGGTAAGGGAAGGCCTCGTTATTCTGATTCTTCGATCGCGATCGCGCGCCCGTGCTTTCTAACAACAAATAGGAAAATCTATATCGGACGTTCACACGATCTCCGGAGTGATCGAATTGACCAATCTTATTACGCATTTATGTATTAATCTCGACAATTTCGTACGCATCGCTCTGACGTGTTTAAGTCGTTCGATGACGCAACGGGAAACGCTTTACCTTGGACATTTATTCTACACCGTGAATGATTAAACGCGATCGCCCAGATGTTCTATCGCGAGCGTTCTAAAGGGTTGAAAGAGATGTCTCTTTCCCGGTAAAATTCCCGCGAGACATCAACGGCTCGTACACGATTACTAATCCGATGAATTTTCGGAGGGATTCGCGTTCCCTCGCGGAACCAACTGCGTCGAGGCAAAGGAACTTTCCCTCACCCGAAAGACTCGGGCACAACCCTGAAAATATTATATATACATCATCTCTTCTACTTCGCCTCTACCTTTCGTCTAACTTCCTTCCTTTTATTATGGCAAGTACGGAATTATTCGTTGCTTGAACTCTCGCAATCCGGCTGAAAGAACGAAACGGGAAGGAAGAGAAAGAAGGACAAGCGTCCTCGCGCGTGTGCGTGGAATCGTACTTTCAGTCGCGCGTTTAGCACCAAATGGGATTCTCTATCGAGTTAGTTACGACGATTGCACATGTGATGTAAAGACAGAAATGAGTTGTATTTAGCGCCAAATGCGCGCCAAATTCTGGCAACGACGAAAGTTAGTAATACGGAGACGTTCAACGATGAAATAACGATCGCGTACGACTAATAACACCTTATAATAACGACCAAAAATCGACCACGTAAGCATCTAACAAAAAGATAAAATTCAACAATGCCAATGTATTCAGCACATATAGGCCTATTCACAACTGAAGTTGTCGTGCGCCGCATGCTAATGCGAATGCGTGCATATTACTTTTAAGGTATATACAGAAAGTGAATGTGCGCAATAGAGAAAGATGTTCATATGCATGTTTTAGAAAATTTTTTTCTTTTTTTTTCTTTGTAAGATTTTCCAAAATCGAAATTCGATTATTGTTTCAGTCGCTTGCGCTGCGGCAGTTTTTTGTCGTTCACAAAATTTCTTATAATAGCCCATAATTAAAAAGTCTTTAATTAAAGGTTAATATATCCTTTGTATAATTAAATTTAAGAAAGAACGAATTGTTTAATATCTGCAATATGACTCGCCTTATTATTAACTGTCTTTATTTTCTCTTCTTTAATTGAAGAATTAAACCTTAATCTTCCGTAAAAATTCATCTAAAACAATTTCGATAAAATTATCTAAAACTTCTGCAATAATTGCACAACGGGAACAATTTCTTATGTATTACATCATTTGGAAAAAAGTATTATCGAGTATATATAAAACGTATGATAAAGTAAAATATGCATTATCTGCGTTCCAATGCAGAATAATACATGCTAAAATTTTCGAAAAATCGTTTATCGAAAAATTACTTTTATTTCACATTTTATTTTCTCGTAGCTCACTCCACGACAATAGAGTAAACTACGCTCTTCGATAATTTTATTTGCAAATGTTACAAATCGCATTCGCGCGGTAATGCATATCCAAATGTTAATCTTGGCTTCAATACGGCTTGCGAGACGTCTTCCGGTGTGAGCAGGCCTTAAGGCATCGACCAACGCGCTGATTACGACCGCTTCGATCGATACTCGATCCCACGGCTCCCTCCCGATCGGATGTCCTTTTCTTGTCGATCACAGATAATTGCCAGCCGACGAAGGGGCTGCAATTATTGCACGCCGACTTCCGCAATTTGCCTCGCCAATCGTAAATGCGAGTCGATCTTTTTCAAAACGGGCTCATTAGGACTTAAACAACTTCGGCGAAGACACCAAATTCGGCTAATTGATTTAAATTCCTACGGTTTGATCGTCCTGCTTTCTCCGTACGCTTTTCGTCGACCCGCAATTTAATTTTATACTTCGTGTCACTCGAAAAAATTTTCATCGAACAATCACCGCGCAAGCCCTAACCGAATCTGCGGCTTGTTGAACCTTTAATATGGTATCGGCACTATCGGCTGCCAGACACCGGTGTTTTCGTCTCGACGGTAGTAATGAGGTCTGTTATCTCGGAAAACGGTGACTGCCGGAAATTGATTGTCTTGGATATACTTGAGCGTCGCCCGCACCTGAAACAGAAATTTCGTCGCTGCTTAACGATGCGTGGAGAAACGCGGCGCAATTCGATTTATCGCTCAATGCCTTCTATCTCCTCGAGGAACTAACGATAACGATGTCGCATAGCGTTTCGAATGGGCATTACCTGCGATACGAAATGTGGTTGCTCCACTTCCGGTGACGTGGACAGATGCTGCAGGATGAACTGATCGGTTTGCGCCAGCCAGAGATCCACGCCGCGCAGGGGGTCGTAGTTAAACGGGCCGATTCTAAGTAATCCCAAGGCGCAATCGTATATGTCCAAAACCTGTACACGTAGACAGAATATAGGTACACGTGCAGTCTCAACGGAATGCGTCAAATAAAATATCGCGCTTAATAGACTAATAATATTTTATTTAATATTATTAATCAATTGAGTTATTATATTTCATTTAATACTAGTATTTAATATGTTTTTGTCGATTGTGGGATTATCAAGTTTTAATTTTTTCTTGTTTCAATTGTAAGCCATTAGTCTCGTTCAGCTACAATAGGGTGTCGTTAATGTTAATGCAAAGTTGCGTACACGCACCTGCTGACCCCCGGTCAATTGTCTGGCGCACCTCAGTGCCTGATCTGGACCCTTGTCGGGGAAAGTCGCGGGAAAGATCTCGCCGGTCTTCACGTTCAGCCCGATACCGTAGATCAACGGCCAGTGAATCCCACCTCTCACGGTGGTGTTCAACTCGCCCACGCAGCACAGCGTTAGATCGATCTCCACCGGTTGCTTGTGAAATGCGGCTGGAAGACGATCGGGTCGGTTAACATCCTATATAGATATAGATAGACGAAGTCGAAGGCGGCAATTTCGTTCTATTTTTGGATATAATTCTATAAATATAATTAATTTCAGTCTAACTTTGATTGAATGTTCTATAGGAAACATAATATCGTGACATGAAAATTGAGTTCTATTCCGTTTAGCTTATCTTTTTAATCCATTTTGAAGCAAGTAAATGATTGAAGTGGATATGTTTACGAATAAAGACAGGAATAGAATAGGCATAATTATTTCTATACTAATTTATATATGTTAAATTTATATAGATTAAAAATAAGATTCTCCGAGCCATGGATAATAGGAATGCCGCATAAGAAATAGATTTTCACGTACAAAGTATATTGTAGAATAATTCCTCGGAATAGTTTCTCGGATCGGAGTAGCCGCCGACCAACTGCAGCTCCAGGCGACCTTCGGGATATCCGAGGGCGAGTTCCGTTACCTTCTGGATTATTCCCGCCGCGGCATCTTCCGTTCCAGAGCCGTCAAGGTGCGCCAGAGCGGCGGCGCCCGAGCCTGAAATCCAACATTCGAAACGCGATATTCGCAGCCCTTAAGATATTAAAGTCAAGCACGCCGACCAGTTATTTATTATGGCCGGTTATATATAATTATTTAAAAAAAATTATTACTATTTTATTATTATTTTTCTTTATTATATGAAAATAGGGCACATATTAAGCGTCATTTTTATCCAAAATTATTCTTGAACGTAAAATATTTATGTTAATAACGAATATCCGCCTGCGAATTAGTCTCGGTGCAATGCACCGGATGAACTTTGTATTGTTACTTTTATGAATTATCATTACTATTCACGTCATTGATCAACGAGCTTAATTGCGTATTTATCGCTGCTGAAAAGATCAATCGAAAGAAATATCAAAACGGTCAAATGAGATGAGTTATCACCGCTTGCGCGCTATTATCTTTTTGTGACTACTCGTTACTCTTCTACCCCTTCTCCCTTTCAGAAAGAACATGCCGATTAAAAGGGAAATCAATTTTCAAGTGTTTAAATATCGCTACCAGGCCAGTAATTATCGCAAACAAGCTGATCAGTCCTCTCGCCATTTATCGTCGAATCGAGATCAGAAACGACAAAAAACGCTCACGAGACGATTGAAACGATTCAACATAAATCCAAGAGCATCGCGCTTCCAGAGTTAATCACGGTTCGTTAGATATGCAATTGGTCGCCTTAAGGATAAGAACAAAATGGAACAAAAAGTAACGATTGGAAACACGTGAGAATGTTTTTGCAATGTTAGAAGAGATTTTTAAAGATATGCGATTGACGCATCATAAACTGCCTACATTTATTAATTGGAAAACAAACAAACAAACAAACAAACAAAGGCAATAGTAATAAATTTTTGCAACAATAAATTCTGAGCGCAATAAATTTCGATCGACTGTTGCACGAGCGCAAAGTAACGAGTGGACGAGAAGAGCTCGCGACAAAAGGACTCTTATATCGCGAACTGTTACTTAATTACGTACTTTCGCAGTCGCTTTCTACCACGGTCGTTATTCACGCGCAACCTTAAGACGATCGGAGACACCCAGCTCGTGTCGCGATGTATTATCGTCTCAGCAGGAGAAAGCTAAGGGAAACTTATTCGACGGTTTCGTTGAGAAATATAATATAATGTAATAGGCTCTTTGCAATACGCGTTATCGTTCGGAGAAACATCTAAGAAGTTCGTATGATTCGTATCGGTTATAAATATCGAAGTGACGAAATACGCTTAAAAAATAGTCGTATGATAATTTTAATAAATTTTTTGCGCCCACGAGAACACGCGAGATTATAGCATGTTCTTACTTGTACATACCTTGCTGATATTAAGAAATGACATTATGGAAAATTGCGCAAGTAGCTCGTCGTTTTAGTTTTATGAACCATAAATCGCAATTATTTCCCCGAAGCTCTTTAAACTTGATATCATAGGATTAGCAAGGCATTTAAATGACTTCGTAATATGAACGTGAATCGTAAGCTGAATCGGAGTACTTTTTCCTTCCAGTTCGAATGGCAGAACTGGTTCTATTAAACGGTTCGTCTTTGCGAAAGAAGTGGCGTTTCGCATTTTGCGCGTTACGTTAGTCGTTATATCACGAAGGAGTCAATGATCGTGCGAACGAGAAGTAAATCATTTTTGTGCCCGGACAAAGGAAATAAAAAGCGATGTAACGGAAAGTCCAAAGACGATCGCGGGCGTCATGGTTCTCGTTTAGCGATATTTTTTACAAGTTTTTGCTCGTTAGCTCCGCGACTAATTTACAGTCCGAGACAAGCAGACTGTAAATGAATTTCCTGTCTTTTTTTCTCTCGACTCTTTACTTATTTCCTTTCCTTCACACTTTCAGAAATCTATACTAACAATAAAAACTGTTTTATAATTTTTTCATAAAATGACTTTCAAATAAGATGCTTATATTTTCATTGATATTTTGGCATCAGTTGTTATTATTATATAATTCAACATTAATTTAAATTAATTTAAAATCTATTTTTTTTTCTAACTAAAATGCCAGAACAAAAATAATTTCAAAGAATTGCAATTGACTTAAAATAAAAATCTTTGCGTAAATTAGGCTTCTGATATTTAAACAAATAACTGTAATTACTTTCTCAAATCTTTGATATAAAACACGTGCAATATATAAAAATCTTAACGAAGAAGCCCTCTTTATTAAAAATCGATTCAACTTCGTCCAAAAATATATTAAGATCGGTGATATTGATAAAATCTCTCTGTTTCGTATTAAATATTTTCCAACGACGCGCGGTACCGATCAAACAGTCGCGCTTTGTCATTGCGTTATTCCGACCTCTTTTTCTTTTCATTGTCGTGCCGCAAGCGGCCATTTATATGCAACCGGCAGCTATTTTATAATGAGCACGATTGTACTTTCAAATATACTCACCGGAATGCCTGACGACAACGATTATGCACGTGGTCATGTCGTCCGAACCGAGGATGCTCACGTTCTCTGCGAAGGGAAAAAGGAATAATCGTTACGGAGGAGCGAATACGGCGCGGCGGTGCTTCGAAAGACTGCGGATTGTTAGGATTATTGCGATACGGGGCAGGGACTTTACATAATTATATGAAAAACATTTTTTCGTGTTTCAAACGTATACCTTTGCCGATGGTTATTCTACAGAGAAAGGTATTAAGATATTTCACGATATCGCAAAAGAAACAACGCGTTCTTGCTCGTATTCCTCTTATTATTCTTAAATCAAGTTGTATCTCGCTTCTATCTTTTCTCAAATGTTTATTGCACGTCACGCGTCGCAAAAATTGTAAAATTAAAAATATGTTCTTCTTTTAAAAAATTATAATAATTTAGCTACGTGTGCACAATTTGTCGATTTAGCACACATCTGTAACATAAAATGCTACACTATATTACGCTACGTTACACACGAGAATAACGGTCGGTTTTTATGCGATAAAAAAATTGCTGATAAAGATTTATTATACATTCCGAGAAAAAGATAAGAAAATCTCCATTGCGAAGCATTACCAGATTTATCCAGCGAAGCACGTGGAAAGATACGTCTCGTTACGAGATTTACCGCACCGTTGTTATTGCAGCATAATAACGCGAATCTTGGTTATTTTTGAAAGTTACACCATCAGAAAAATTGGACTATAATTTACAGTTGTGTCCGATAACGCGCAAAATAATGCCCGGCATCCGGTTGATTTATCACTCGCGCGCGGTTGTTTCTTTTTTTTTTTTGTCTTCTCATAATTAAGCGCAATCACAGCTGGTACGTTGACGAGTTGCGTCAATCCCGCGATATCGCGGCAAAAGTAACCGGTAACACACTCGATATCTCCTTAAGAGATAACCAGGAGATCGCGTGACCATTGCATCAGTAACATATTCTCTCTGAATAGGTACCGAGATTATTTTTCGAAAAGATTACGTTCCTCTCTCCCGCAGGGATGACTGATACGCGCAGTCATTTGGGTCTAGCGAACCCACGGACCCGAGCTCAATGCACTGCCGGACACTTACATATACATTTACACGTCATACACACATTTTTGTGAGCGACAGTGCAATAAACGTTTCAGGAAAAAATGAAAGCAAGATACCTGATTTTAAAATAAAAAGAAGAATTAGAACAAAACCATAGACGCATTTGATACAGATGGTGTAGGATAATGATAGCTGAATCTCATTATTTCTATCTCTTAAGTATAAAAAAAATTGCTTTGAAATAGTAGTAAAGTATATTTATTAATATTTCTCTGACTTTTAAGCATCATTTAATAACTTTATCGCATATTTTAATAACATAATTATTGGAAAAATTTTGTTATTTTAAAAAAACATGAAAAGAGTGGCTTTATTTTACGACAATAACGTCACTATAAAATCATTTTTTTTAAATTACATTTGTTAGTATGATACTCCATGAAATTCACGAGGATAGTCTCTGAATTTATCTAAGTTGCTCTGTCCTCAAAATTTAAAGCTGGTTCATTTAAAGCTGGATCCAGATCAAGGAAAGAGCGCGAAAAAACGTTTGCCGGCGGCCGATGTTGGCATTCATTGAAGCAAGTTGTTTGTTCGCTGTTTCATTATCTTGGATCCAGCTTGACGCGGCGCATCGAGATGCACTGCACTTACTGTCGTGCGGCAGCGTCGCGGCCATTTCTCGTTGTTGAACGTAGAGAAGGCCCACCGGGCCCACGAGTTTCGCCGGCATCGAGTGCAGCTGGGCCGCGCTCTCGCGGTACACCGGATGGGCCGCGTACAAGGACCTGCTGTCCGCAGGAATCTCTTCCTGCAGAACCACCCCGCCCACCACCAGCACCATCCTGCGAAAGCGAAACGAAAGCGATTATACAGCGAGATAGAAAAACAAACGTTTTATCGCGCTTGAGGTGTTGCGCACTGAAAGACGACGCGCGCACACGTTCAACGTGCAGCATGAAATTAATTCCGCGGAACAATACGCTCGCGAACGATTAATAATTTATGCCAGCGACGGCCATTCCTCGCCGTTTAATTTCCATTTTATTCCTCCGTTGACGCACGTGGTCTTAGAAATCGCCGACGCCGCGACGACGCGAGATTTCTTTATCGGGCAAAGTTCAAATTTGTCCGAGAAGTGCGTTGAAAAAACGTATCTGACGGACAAATGGAAAAGGCGCGTTTGAAAAACGTATATCTCATAGATTCCTCCGCGATTGTCTACGTATCTCCTTATTCGTCCTCCCCATCTTTATCCTATCGTATAAAAAATATGTTAATGCAACGTCTCGAATATAAGCGCAGCTTGATTCTCGCAACGTGGTAGTTAGCGGCAATCATCGCACTTCAAATTGCAATAATCCTGGCTAAATTGCGTCTAGTCAAAAAATTAAGGCCGATCAAAGGTTTCTGATCGAAACGCGGTCGTTCTCGTTCTACTTGGGGCGTACACCTCCTTGTAAGTCATTTGCAAAGTGACTGGCCCGGTTGTACGTGATCTCGTGTGATAAATCACAACCGGCGGATCATTAAAATCAATTTACGGCAACCGTAAAGCAAAGTAGCCGTCGCGCGACGCAACAGGCGAGTGTGTTGAACGTCTGGCTTATCGAGTGGTAAATTCGCTCCTACGAGGGTAAATTACCCTCGTATTTCGATCTTAACAATGAGGTCCTCAAGTATATCTCGCATACACGATCGAGACTGGGCATTGTGCGACAAAGTCGGGCGTAGAGTATCGGACTCGAGATCGCATTGTCGGTACCGGGCGCAGTCATTAGTAGTACAATCGCGCCAACAAATGCCGTTGTTTAAACAAATTACAACATTAAACTCAACCTCAACTTAACTTACACAGTAAAAAATAAAACGTAATTTTAACATATGGACCGCTATACACAAGATTTTTTACTATGTCATCTATATTATGTTGCTTTATTCGATATTATAACACTGACATTATTAATTCACGGAAAAAAAGGATTAGCTATTTTGCAGCAGAGCTATAATTTAGCAATAGTAGCAAAACTTTAAGAACTGTTTTGTTACTATTGCTAAATTATACCTCTCGCTGTAAAAAAATATAGCTCTTGCTGCAAAAAATGTTAGTTATACATATTTTACAACTAGATTTGCTATAATCCTTTTAGCAGTAGCAGCTATAATCCTTTTTTTCCGTGTTGTAATATCGATGTTAAATCTAAAAAAAATCTTCGACAAAACAGAATCAAATTACTAAACAAGACAACTTGGATGACAAGTGTCTCTTTAAAAACTCTAATCGCGCACCCTCCCATTGTCTTTTTATTAATATAAATTGCTGAGTTGTGTTATTAATCAAAAAATCATCGCCTCGCTAATTAAAGCATCGATGATTGATCGTCATCGATCTTCCTTCGATCCTGGTTGGCAAGAGTTCGCGCAAGGATGACAAGAAACATGTTTTCTTTTATTAGTAAGAAAAAAAAAACGAGACAGGCTCTGCGAAGAGCGCGCGCGCGCCACGCGTTTAAATGCAGAATAATCGCCAATTATGTCGACGGCGCTCGCAGAATGAAAGGAACGCCACGAGAAATATGAGGTTTTCGCAAAAACTCGTCGCGGCGTCCTCCGTGTGCGGCGCGATTCGTGGCAAGGACTAAAATAGATCCCTACGATCCGCGTGTCGTGCAGCTGCTTCTGCGAACGCGCAGAAATACGCGTGATGGCAAAACCACTCGTATCACTTCTCCGCGACAATTTTCAATTTTTATTCATAGCGTAACTGTGTAATACGAGAAAAACGCTACGCTACTAATTATCAGCAAAATGTCTGTAAAATTTAACCACGCGAACGCTGTAAATAAATCTATTATTTCTTCAATCACGACGCATTGCGATTATTTGTTCGTCATTATCATAACGACGTGAAGGTGCAAATTACAATCAATCTTTCAGGTTGCCGCGAAGACGTACAGGCTGGCGTAAATTAGAGGATTAATTAAGGAACACGCGAACGTAAGTCTCATGCGTACTTGAAATAAATCCCCAAGTACGCGTGCACTTTGCATTCGCGATGCTAGCGGTTAACTCGACTTCAATGGCTGTCCCCCGTAAGATCCGTAATTATATCTCGCGTTCTCTCCGCGCCGCTCTAGAAACGAAGGAACGGAAAATTGCAACGACCAGCCCGGCGGTATCTTACCCGCGAGCCGCGTAGGTTTCGGTATTAGGGAGCGCGGTATACTGTAATCCGGATGAGATAATTGCATGTTTTGTATTCGGTGGAAATATCGCGGCTTAATTATACGGCGTGCGACATGCGATGCATACCGCTCCGTTGCTTGCTCGCTAGGAGCAACTTTGTGTTGCGATTCGTTCCATAAGTGATGTACGCCGCGTGAAAATCCTCCATTTGCTCCGCCGTTGAGTTGCAACGGACTCAACGGGGTAATTAGAATTTTTGGAGATTTATGCGAAGCACAGCTCCACCCATTTAGCGTCAAACCCTTCTTCTTATTTTGTTACAATTTGCTATTTTATTTCTGTATATATATGTTACAGTTGTAAATTCCATTCACGTGGCATACTTTGCAAAAATTATAAAATCAACTTAAAATAAAACGCTGAAATTTCGCTACTAAAGAAATAAGAAGTATAACTTGACAATAAGTTTTCTTTCTAATAATAATTTCTCAATTTCTTATTGTTAGAACGATATTTTCGTTTTAAAATAATTGCCTCGCAAACTTTGGCTTACGCGATAATTATCTTTCTAGCGTTTCTCACGAAATGGACTATCATGCCGGAAAAGCAGCGTTTGGTACTTAAACGCGTAGTTTTAGCGAAATTAAGAGTGACACGCTAAACGAAACGTAAGAAATACGCGGCACGAAATACTCTCGTCTCCGTAATTATTGCACGCCGCAGGAGAGACAGCTTGCGTGTGATTAGTTGTATCACAGGCGGTTGTTCGTATAATAATGAGACAAACGTGCGGCTGTGTGTCGCTCGGTTCCGATCGCGAACTGTCACGTGGAGGCTGCGGCTATGCTGACGCATAATTCGCGAGAAACCGACACTATCGCGTGACATATCCGTGCACACGATGTACGTGGCTGTTTTATGTTATGAATATTATTCAGGGAAAACCACTCAGACGCGCGAGTTTTCATGTCGCGACATTATTATATCAATTTCTCGCGGTGCGATATCGCATCAATAACAGGCGTATTGCGGCACGCTGTTTGTACGTGCTATTATCACACGATTATCGGACGGATTGCGTCGAAATCGAATAACTTATGATACGTTAGGGTGATAAACAAAAGACGAGAACGATCAACGGATCATGGGTTTATCGAAACCGAGATTAAATATTAGTTCATTTAAATTATCATTACGACGTAAATAACTTGCGTATCTCATTCTACGACCTGACAGCAACTCACCTTACTTTTTTTAAATGGATTTTCTTCTAATAAAATCTATCCGTAACGATTGCGCTCAGGTGCAATGGGATAATATATAAATAGCACTTGATGTATCTTTCATGCAGGAATATGCGTCTCTTTATTCAAACTTACAGTCCTTGTTACACTAAGCTATCGAAACGTTCCGTTATTAGAATTCTACAAGCATTTCATCGAGAAAAAATTTTAACACAACTTTCTATCTCACTTTTATTATCAGCCGATATTTCTCTCACGCAATGTTCTCAAATTCACAAATATCTTCCATCGTACGTTACACGAGCGTTGCCATTTCAAGAAGCATCTCGATCCTACCGATTTATCGCGATTTTAAGCTACGCTGATCCTTGGTATTACGGAGATTAAGAATCAGAAATCATTCGGTCCGCACCTTAATGCGATTTGCTCTCAATCACTGTCTGTGAATCGATCGCGTGACGCTCCGTGACAACAAATCCCGGATTTCGGAGTTTCTGCCGGATATTTTGAACGCGCAATCACTTCCGACTTATAGAGACGCAGCCGAAACGACAAAACGAGATAATCTCGCGTCGATCTCACGAGCGTCGATTCAAGATCTAGCTGAGCCGCGACTAAATTCGTCCGCGCAGTTTTCATTAAGTCGTCGCCGACTGTCCCGGCGCTCATTAACAAGTCGCGTTAATTATGGCCTCTGTTATCAGCCGGCGCGGCGATTGGACGGCTTCGTGGACGCGGTGGGACGGGTTAAAATCCAAGAGGGACCAATCCGGGCCGGTCGGTCGATCGGATATCGGGGCACCGCGAACGAGAAAATAACATGTTTGGCTCTGTCGGCAGGGCTTAGGAATCGAAATCGCCTCGGCCCCACTTTTCTTTTTTTTTTTAATTTCTTCTTCCTTCTTTTTTTAAACTCTTTCTGTTTGCGCCGGTGGCCGGCCGACTGGTGCGGTGTTTCGTGGGAGCAGGTTTACGGAGTAGGGTAGTCGAAAAGTTTAGATCACTGCAAATCAAACTCACGCAAAACGCCATTGTTCACAAGCCTTAGCAGCCAAAAGTTGTTATTAAAATTCGATAGTAGAATTATTTTATGAGCAGAAAAAGAGCAGGTGACAAACATTAAACAAGTTATAATAATTATTGAAATTAAAAGTATTTTGTAACAAATTCAAAAAAAGTCTGTACATTAGATTTAATTTACAAAATTATACTAATTATTTACAAGGATCTTGAAAAATGAAACTTAATAATGAAATAAGATCTGAATTGTTCCACGGTGCTGGACGTTGGAAGCTTTCCGAGTATAATTATAGATGACTGCGTATTGAAAATCTTTTCTTTCCGTGAAAAAGCGACCGAGTGGAGAAACGGGCGACACGATAGCATCTGAATATATGTAGATATATGAACAGAGG